ATGTATACAAATGTTGATTTGTGACTATTATAGTTTTTATGTAATAAGCTGTTAAAATTAATGTCTACTTTTGAACAGATTACTCAAAAACTACGTAATTCATTATAGACAAAACTATTCGCAAGTTAAAGTAAAATTATTCAATTATTGTTTTTATGACCCAAAAAATGCGTCTTAACATTTTGTTTCATTATTCGATAGCAAAGCATACTAATGATTATCATTAATACTCTAATGAAAGTCAAAGTTATAGGCTTTAATGTGTGTATATTGCTAGATTCGTGGCTGTTACCGTTTTTCTGTAATAAGTTGTCAAACTATTGTGTTTTCTGAAATTATTGAAATCAATTGTATTTACTTTGATCAATTCTTGCGGTGCGATTCTGTACAGCTTCAGATCCCTGGCCAGACGTTCCATGATGCACTTGAACTCCATCTTCGCATCCAATTTGCTCGAGGTCTTCGTCCTGATCTTGTGATGGGCCCATGTGAGCATCGCCTCGAATTTCCTCACCTCGAGCACCTCCAGATTCCTAAGCACAATACAATCGTGTTTACGTAAAAGAAAATAATTCAATTTCATTATACGTTGATTACCTGCACATGATCATCTGCACCATGGATTCGCTTAAAGTGAGAAACTCTGACGTTTGGAAAAGTGCGAAAGCCCGTGTTTCCACGAAAGCGAGAATCATGTTCACCAGCTCCGAGGCGGAGGTGTATCTCCAGTAGTAGTTCTCCAGAGAGCACAGCATGCAGCAGACCTATAATAGAATGTAACGATGAAGAGATTTATGTGAGAGGTGTGTGGAAATTTCACTTACGACTTCGATTCTTAAGAACTGTTTGGCGTGGTGGAAGCACGCTTGCAGGAGTTCGGGAAGGTCGTAGTGTTCTGCGGCGCAGATGAGTCCAGGTATCGTGGAGCAGGTGAGAGGACACGAGCCGGTGTGAAGGTAATCCAGAAGTATCCTGAACGTGTCCGGATCGAATTCGATGATGGAGAACTCCGTCTGCGCCAGCTTCGCCCTGTCCACCTTCTGGGCGTCCGCGCACACGCTGAGCCTCGGCACCGGGAGTTGCGCCGGTTTCTCCTTACCTTCCTTGTCTTTCCCTTCTTTATCTTAAACAGAAGAGATTACATGCGGCTTTCTTGCGAAGCGTGCGAAGACGAAGGAATATTACTTGAACAATCCTGGCTGCTGGCCCACTTCTTCTTGTCCTCGGCGGAGAGCGTCTGCGTGTTGTGTTTGCGGATGGAGCGACCCCAGCCTGCGGTGATGGTGCCCAACCGCGAGAACGCTCTCTTCACCATCGGAGAACTGGGGACGCTCTTCGGTCGAGGAGATTCGATGTCCGGCACCTGCAGGAAGTTGCTGCTCTTCGGTCGCGATTGCTGAGGACTCAGAAGCGTTGGAACGGGTCGCGCGAGTAGTTCGGCTACGGGGACCTGGGGCGATCCGAAACCTGTTTGGATACCGTAAAGCATCTCCTGGAAGACGCGCGATCTCACACCTAAGATCGCTCGTACAGCTATGAACTTCACCTGAAACGCAAAGAGTTAAGTTCAAGTAATCGAGGTGGATAGAATCACCTTTTGCTTGGACTGTCCTACTAAGAAAACGACGTCGAAGAGTTGCGAGTTGATGATGGTGTTTTCTTCCGAATTCAGGAACATCTTCGTGAAATCCTTGGCCAGCTGGTCGTAATCCTCGAACTGATCCCTCACGCTGTCCAAAAGCGGAGAAGAAGGTCGCATGTGCCCGATTGGTCTCCAAGAACCTGCAAACAAGCAAAACCATTAATACACATCCCTAATCCTACAAAAAAAGTAATAGATGTCACTTAAATCGAATCACTAAATGAACGCACAGTTTGCAATCTACCAAAATCAAATAAATACTATCTCTTCACATCATCTACATCAGCGTTTTCCAAACTGTGAACTAGTCGAAGGGGAGGCGCGAATATTAGTAGCAGTGAGCAATTTTCCAAATATCTGCTAAAGTATAGATACATTCCTGTGCTCTTATCCATATTGCTGTCAAAGTTAAAAATGTCGAAAAAGCAGTGTTTTTACATTTCATTGATTTACTCGAAAACTATAATACATAGATTGAATCCAAAAGATGCATATGAACACTGCGCCGTCTACAATATACATATATTAGGTGCAGCAGAAAATATGCATATGAAAGCTGAATGTTTGGGGAATCTAGAAAGTATCGACATATTACTGTGGTTTTAGCCGTTTGGCTGTAAT